AGGCTCATTACTTTAGGTTCAAAGGTATAATTTATAGCGTTATACTCAGTAGTTTAAGTGGGCCGGGAACGAGTGCAGGTGTCTGTATGTTGTAGTGAGCATCTAGCTTAACCGGCTCTATCCTGGCCATTTGTGGCCACTTCACTTTTCTTTTTTCAACCATTTTCGTTCTGTTAATGCAAATGGAATGAAACTTTCCAAAGGTGTGCATTTTTTTAGATTTTTTAATTTTCAACATCAGGTCCTTAATAATGTCAATAATATTCACTATACACCAAATTGTTCCTCTTGGCTCTATCGTGGCCATTTTTGTTCAATTGAAACCCATTATAACCACCTTTTTTGATTCCTTGTTATTGGCAGTACTATATCATGCGATTTAGGTAAAATTGCTTTCATTCTAAACTCAACACATGAAAGTTTTATTTTTTTATTTTTTTTTACCGAATTACATCATTTACCCATTTTTGGCCAAGCAAACGATTTCATGTAATATTCTTCGTTTCTAGTAGCGGCCTTTGATGGCTCACCACACTCCAATGGACCAAAATAATGACACAATTTTGACATAGGTTTGATCTTAAGGATCTAATAGTTTGTGTTTGTGCATGACATGCAGCACAAACATGTATTTGCAAGATAGACTGGAATAAATAATGACGCATCAAACATTACATAGGCTGCAGTGAATTTCTGTGGATGCAGGTTATTGAGCTTTGAGGTTCCCAGTCAAACTTAGCTTTGAAGCACATGTTAAAAGCACTTTTACTCTTGTATTTTTCATAAAAAGATACCATACCCAAAATATTTACTCAAAAAAACAAAACAAAGCTACAGCTACTGCTGCAGCTGCAGCGCAAACAACAACAAACACTGTTTGTAAACGTGTCCTGGAGTTTATGCAGGTGCAGACAGAGCTACTGCTGTAAGTAAACCTTACAGCTTCCAGATCATTTATTCTGGCTATATGACAAGAAGGTCATCACTGCTTCAAGCACTGTCTGTATGATCTGGTCAGAGACAAAGGACAGCAGCAGTCCTCTGCCCTTGAAGAAAAGTCATCTGCCCAAGATGAAGAAACTTCCTCTCCAGAAGATGAGGGGACAATCTCCAAAGAGGCTGACTGCATCACCACTGATGATGAGTACTAGCCAGTGCCTGAATCCTCTTCTTTGGGGGAAGATTGGGGTTGGGGGGCATGGAGGTGGAGGCCGAGCAGCTGATGGAAAAGAACATAGGAGCATTTTCTGAGACCGAGGAGCCGGTGACTGAGTGGATCC